ATTTTATTTATTTATTTATTTATTTCAGCAAAATCAATATCATTATTTCAATACAATAATACAATAGTCAAATTACAAAAGTTAAAATAATACAAAAATAGTGATAAGAGCTGATACGTATACCAACTGAGCAAGCTCGTTTCTGGTATACGGAGTTCCTACACATATTACTTATATAATATAATAAAACAAAATGTCATGTGTCTTATACAATTGAGAATGATGTATTTAACTTCTCTAAATAACATTATCTTATAATTATATAACTAAACAATACTAATAGATAATCATTTATATTTACACATAGATACTTTTTAATATTTGATTTTTGCACACATTCTCATCTAGGTCATTTACTATTTTAGTAATTATATTTTTTATACGATTTTTGTTAATTATATTTTTTACATTGGTTTTATTAGACTGATTTACACATTCATACTTTATTAGACTCTTTACATCATTTCCTAAATTGTTGAATATAGTTTTGACCATATAATCGGGAGCACTTTTTGTACTGGATAGTGATATATAAGGTAATTTTATGTTATTACCTGTTCTACTGTCTATTATATCTATATTATTAAGTATCTGCATTTGAATTGTTTTTATAAGTATTTGTTTAATGTACAATTTATAGATTGATAGTACGTTAGTATTTTTAAAAATATCTATTGAAGGATATGTTGGTGGTAACGAGTAGGCTACTTTTATAATAATTTTCTGGGCAATATATACCGATTTTATGTCTGTTCTACTTCCAATAAAGTATTCAGTTCAGATAGAAAAATGTTTATATTCGATTTTGGGGAACGGTATGTGGCTAGTATCGTAATTAGTTTATTATTTGCTTTTAGATTTATTTTTAAGCAACTGGCCTCAGAGAACAATGGTTGTTGTTCAACCGATATACTGCGAAGATTATTATTTATATAGATAAGAACTCCATCATTTTGGTTAAAGTTATTTTTACTTTTAAAATTCGAAAAACCAGTTATATCTTGTGGGACAAACCCCGTGCTGTTCCAAGTTTCACTAAATATTATAATATCTAAGCTACTAATTGAGTCATTTATCAGACACCAGACTTCATCTATGTTATGATTATAAGACCTAATATTCATGTGCAAGAGATTTAAATGGTTATTCTTAATGCTTGTTATATACTCATTCAAATCGGTGTTAACTATATTCATGTTATTGTTTATGATGTAAGGGTCTATAAAATCTGTATTTAATTCTATCATCTAATGATATTATGGTTTATATGGAAAAAAAAAAAAATCATTAGTCTATACCAATGTTTAAATATTAAAATGTTAGTGTACGTAATTATGTCGATAACATGACCTGGATAAGAGTGTGTGTTTATAATACAAGAGGAATAATGCAAAATCGTTGAAATTCGATATAGTGTTTTAAAAAAGAATTTATAGTTGGGAGATATATGAATCATCATATTTTGCCGGTTACATATATACCGTATGTTTATGTTCAATAAAAATTTAAAGCTAAGTGAGTTAATAATATTGTATGATAATAATATAAGAAATAGTTTTACAATATAATTTTTATACCCGTTATAGAAAAAAAAGTAAAACAGCAAAAATAAAATTATAAAAAATGTAAATCATCATTATTTCTAACTTGTATTTTTTTGGCCAATTCGTCCTTTTTGCAAAATATTCTCCCATTTGAGGTCCAAGTGTATCTGTAGCCAAGTTCTTTTGCCTTTGTTCGGGTTTCCCAGATTAACTTCCTATTGTACGCCGTTAAGCTTTCATTGATAAAAATCCTCGAGCCGTTGTATTCAATTATTCCACGTTTCTTTAAAAATTCATCACGTTCCTTTTTAGACGAGAATTCTGCTACTATCTGAGGCGTTTCTGAGTTTTGTCGTGAAGGTTTTCTGTATGCGTTTTCAATGTCAAAAAGATTAAGATCAATATCAATTTTGGAAGCTATATCATTAACTAGTGTTTCGACATTTTCGTTATTTTCTTTTTTAATACCACTTATTTCGATAAAACAAGCTCTCTCGTTTTGCTCCAGAACATTAATTTTAAATTCTAAAGTTTGAATAATACTTTCTTTTTCTTTTAGTGTTTTTTCTAGCTCTAGAATTCTATTGCTAAGAGTTGTAAGAGTATTATTTGTAGTTATTTGGTTTTTTAACACATCGTCTAGTTTGCTGACGATTATATTAATATCAGAGTCAATTGTTATTTTATTAATGTGTATACCTTGGGTTTGTGGAATCGGTTTGACTGGAGTGCCGTCATCTCTTTTTTGTTTCAGTTTTTTGGTACAGTCCTCGCAGTCAAAGGCAATGTTATTAGATTTCATGTTATCAATGCTATCTGAATTCATGTTTGCGCATTTAATATGAAGTACGTTTTTACATGTCGAACATTGAGTACTGGACTCATTCCGCGAAACCGCAACCTTGCATTTCGGACACACTGCCATTAATAAGTCTAATGAAATATAACACTAAACACACACGACCGATTACGTCGGCTTATCGAATGGAACTGATCTTAAATGCTTATAAAAAAAATTGTGTTTTGTATTCTTATTATTTATGTATTTTTAATATTTTTCAACTGATATTGTAACAATATATCAAGAGCCTTGTATTAAATTTTTACACTTTTTGCCCAACAGAAAAAACTTTATTGATATTTATAGAAAAAAAACTAAAACAATTTAAAACTGAAAATGTCCGTAAACGGCTCAAAAAGAGTCAAAATATTTTCAAAATTGTATGGTGTATAGGAAATGCTAATATAAACATTCAGTGAAATTTTCATGTACCTACAGTTATTCGTTTTTGAATAACGACAAAATAAGGAAATCGCTACATGAGAAATCGAGTGAATATCCAATGTTGTAAAAATTTGAATTTCAAACGCTAATAAAAATTTAATTGGACTTTCTTATACACATTTTTTGTTTGATAAAGGTAGATAATCTTAAAATGAATCTTGTATTACATTTTAAAATACTAGATTTAAAAAGAAAAATTTTTACGAATTCTTAACTCAAAATAATTTGGTAAATTTCGTAATTTTTCCTTATTTTGTCAATTTTTAGACTTTAAATGCTTATAAAAAAAACCTATAACCAATGATTTTTAATATTTTTCATCTGCCTTCGAAACAATATACTTGAAGCCCTCTATTAAATTTTCAAGCTTTTTTAACCGACCAATAAAATATTGATATTTATAGAATAAAAAACTAAAACAATTGGAAACTGAAAATGTTCCTAAACAGCTCAAAATATTTCAATAAAGGCATGTTGTATAGAAAATGCTAATATAAACAGTCAGTAAAAATTTGATGTATCTACAGTCATTTGTTTCAGAGTTACACCAATAACCAAAATCGACTTTCTCAAAAACAGATTTTGCGTAAAAATTCCCGTTTTACCTTAATTTTTCTTTTGTTTTTCACGTCACTTTTGAAAACTCCTGGGAAATTTTTACTTTAGACCCCCCCCCCTAAGTACCAACTGGATTCACTTTCCTATCAGTAAAGATACTGTCAAGAAAATCTAAGCACTTTTACTGTCCTAAAAGGTGATGATAGACACAAAAAAAAAATAAAAACACACATCATATTTAAATGTAAGTTATGTATAATATTTTGTTTCTTATAGAGCTAATATGGATTCATCATATTCCATTGTACATTTTTTTGATGATGATACAGTCGAGGCCATCCCATCATTTTGGATGAAAGACAAGATGTGTGCCTGGCCCAAAAATAAACTTTTTATAAAAAAGTTTATTGTAAAAAAAATGGCACTAAATGATAAAGAATTCAAAGTCCTAAAAGCCTGGGTACTTTCTAAAGGCATAAGTAAGTTAAAATAGTATTTCTATGTAAGGAATAGTCTTAATTATATTCAAATACATTTTTAACAATTATAATTTGTTATTTAAATGTAAAGGAACTCTTGAACATGCACGGAAATTGGCCGATGTAGGCCTCTACCGATCCGATTTTTCAGCTGATGAGTCATTTATTAATTAACCTTCTAGGAACTTGCAGTCTCCTACATCATCTACATTCTACATCATCTATGCCTCTATTTGAAGGTAATAAATTAATATTGTACAATGCACATAATTGTTCAGATATTTGTACCTAGGAAACTTTATTTACATTTAAAGTACTTGATTTTTCTAAATTTAAACTTAAAATCTCTTATGATTTTTGTAATTAATAAACAATGTAAATTAGCAGATGTTGAAAATGAAAACAAACACCAATCTCAATTTACAAATGAAGGAATTAGTATATCTGAGAAAAAAAAAGGCTGGTCACCTTCTCCTCAGAAATTGAGATGTGAGTATATTTATGTATACCTAATATATAAACTAAATACTTTTATACTTATATAATATAATATATTATTTTGTGTATAGTATGTTTAAACATAACATGTACACAGTCTGCATAAATTTGAAAATTTAAGTTAATTTCACCATTTTAAATATATTTATAATTAAATGTTATTAGTAATCAAATATAATGTTAAAATTAAGTCAAAAGGCTAATTTAAGCTTCCTCTGATTTATGTTGAATAAAAATGTAAATCGCATCATTATAATATCACATTATTATATTATAATAATATATATGTCTCAAAATTATAATAAATTGTATAATTGTAAACAAATTTGTACATATTTTAGTGCTAAAAAGTCAACTAGCTACTACAATGTTTACAACAAATTCTAAATTGTCGTCGAAATCAACATCACAAGAAGGTAGAATATTTACATTCCTAGTAGTATACAATTTATTTTGAGTATAATAGTCATGCAATACATTTTAAATTCTAATTTGTAGCTTTCAAAGGTTCCAGCAATAAACGACTTCAATTTAACCAAGATGAGAACAAATAAGCATCAGGCATTGAACTAAAACGAAAAAATAGTGGTAACTTTTATTTTAAATGTAGTTCCGCATTATGAAAAATAATGTTATTGTATAATTTGTAATTTTATATATATGTATAGGTATTAAAAATCCAGTATCCAGAAAAAAGTTATTTGGCAATAAATCAGATGATGAGTATGTCATATTAAATGATGGTAAGTAAAATACTGTTAAGTTTATTTTTCGTAATTTTGCAAAAAACAAACATACTTATAGCTTAACGATAAATTATTAAATATAATTTTGAATATCATGTATTTTTAGTTGTTAATAGTTCAGAATACAGGAATATTAGTTTTGAAAATGATTCCAATGAATAAGGTGTTGTGGACATTAGTCCAAGAAATATAAATAGTAAGTTAATTTTTTAATAAAAATTAAATAATGGTAATATTTAATGTCTCATAAATCATAATTTGTGTTTACAGACAGCAAAAGACAAAACACACATAATATTTCAATTGCAGAAAGAGATGATCTTGATGAACAATTGTTTAGTAGACCAATAGGACGCAATAGTAAGAAGTTTTATTGTTTAATTTTCATTGTTTTTCAATATTATAATATACAACTATATTATTACAGTTAGTAATGGTATCATAAAGATAAATAGTTCGGCGGCTTAAAATAACTCGACAGAATTTGTTCATAATATAAATGGTACATAATTTAAATTAAATGATTGTTACATATTTTCAATATTATTATTTAAGTTTTGTTGTTACCCAGATCTATTGCAATCTCAAAACCAACAATTGAGAAATATAACATTCTTAAAGTATGAGTTGAAACAAGTATTAAGCAATCAAACAGTAATACTTGATAAACTGGACCAGATAGAAAAGTATTTGGAACAAAATTCATTTAATACGCCTGTGATGGAAGTTAATAGTGTTGACTTTAGTGATTGTCCTCTGCCAATTGATAACACTTAAGACTTACAAACATTTAAAGACAAAATATCGGGCGATCAAAGTTATAAAAATCAATTGGTAAGTTAATCAACTTAGTTCATTATACTATGTGTTAATGACAAAGGGAAACTATATTGTTGCTTACATTGTACATAATATGCCAGATAAGAGAATTTTTTTTAATCTGATTATAGTATGGATTAGTACATCATGGGCATTAGGCATTTAAAATAACGTTTATAATTTTAGCACAATATTATTTAATATTTTCAGATCACAGAACTTTCTCATATAGGAGGAAAAAATGTGAAATCAGTTGTGAAAAGACTTATGTCAAAACTTTTTTCCGTCAGTTTACTATCAGAGTACTCTTATACGGGTAAAAAAGGGAAAAAAAAATTTTCAAGTTTATTTATATGTTCTGTTATTTTTGGTAAGGATGCAATAATTAATATTTGTGATCATTGATTATATAATATATATATTTTTTTTTTTTTAGAAATTAACTCTCGGCATCATTGCCATTGGAAGACATAATATAGTCTATTTAATTATATTAAATTACCTATTTTTCAAATATATATATTATAATATCAATGCTAGTACTTTTTATTAAAAAGATACTACATAATATTTGTTGTAATTTGAAATTGTTTCTTATGAAATGTTAAATCTATACTCCATTCACATTAAGAAAAAAACCTAACCCTAAGTGGTTTTCATCGGGCAGTAGTGAGGAAACACCCGTCCTCACCAAGTCAACGCCCATGCGCTCAAATTGGCCGCTATAGGTTCCTTCTTAATATGAATGGAGGTATATTAGTGTCGCTAGTATGATGTTGTTATCATTATTAATTAAACAAATAATTTTGTAAATATTGCCCTGTTGGCTAATTATGGCTGCCGACTCCAATATTATCCTGTAGTTGGCTATCTACAGTTGTTTTATATGTCTATGGTATACACATATACGTATTGTTACATTTCCGTGCGGATTTGATACTTAAAACTTTCTCTCCTTTTTTGTATTTAATGATATAATTATATAAGTACAACATGCTTGTATACTTTTTAATATCACTTATAAAATAAACTAAAATGTATTTTTATATGTTATTAGATTCAATTAAAAAGCAAATCTAATTCAAAAGTACTCCACTCAATGAAGTTGAAGACATAATAAAATGTATTTTAGCTCAATCTCCGTTTAGCTTAAAAAGGCAACTTTTGAAAAACACTGTACCTAGTTCCATTTAAAAATGTGAATAATTAGTATCTTATAATATCTCAAATAAATGAAAAATCATTAAAAATGTATTTTATTCATTATAATATTATTAAGCAACAATAATTTAAGATCCGAGAATGGACTACATATATGTGTGTGTGTGTGTGTGTTTTTTTTTACTTAAAATGATATCTTAAATAAGATTTAATATATTTTAAATAAAATTTATTTATTACATATTAAATCTTCCTCAAACCCAATATTGTTTATTCCATTAGAATTTATATTCAAGTGTGGGTATAGGTATATATTTATATAGAATATAATTAATAGATAAAGGATTAATTAATAAAGGTTTTCTGTGAAGACAATAATGTATAACAATCTCATAATAAAGCATCATCACATCTGCAGTTCAAGTTGAGTAGCTTAAAAACATATTATAGGTATTCTTAAAATATATAAATGCATACATTATTAAAGTCTATCACAGATTATAATATATATTATTATATACTAGTACTTATATTGTTATATAATGTGCTATAATAGATCTATATTATATTTAAATATTACATTATAATAACAAATTAATTTTGACTATATTAGTAAAAAATGTAATACATATTACATTTTAATCATTGGTTAACTTATAATTTCAAAAAAATCAATATTTATTTAGTTTTAATTAACTATTAGAAAATATCAATACAACATTGATTACATTTTTTATTTAAATGTTGAAACAACTATTAGTTTTTAAATGTTAAGCAACCTTTGTTTTTAAACTTATAATAAATAATTAAAATTGGTTCAAAAAATGTTTTATAGTTATTAATTAACATTTAAAAACTTATAGGTACCAACTGTAGTTTAAACATTGATAAACTATATTATTTTTTTTAACTTTTAAATTTAAATATTGATTCAAACTTAAATAAATATTACAGTGCTGTGTGATATATACGAGTATATCTATGTTTGATGTTAATATTAAGAAACCAGTTGTCAAAAGGGTCGACAATCTGAATTTTTATAAAGTTATGTTATTAGTGGTTATTTTTAAAATAATATATAAGTATTTATTAAAGAATTATTTTGAAATATATAATTTTATTTTGAGTATTTCATGAATTACAAAAATATGTAAAACTTTACAAAAAATCGATTTGAAACACTAGCTTCTTAATAATACTGTATTTAATTATAGACCTTAAATTAAATTAAAATATAATATTTCATTAGGCATATAATATATATATTTATATAACTGACAATTATTAGGAAAATGCTATCTACTATGCTTACTTACAGTATATAGTTATCCAAACTATTATTCAACTTTTTATTTTTTAATGTATTCTTATAAACAGTGTTGGGAAAAGATAACCAAAAAATTATCTGGATAAGATAACAGATAATTCATTCAAAATATGTAATTTATTCGTAATTACTAATTAGGTAATATTTATTAATTAATAAATCCTTAATGTAATTTCTCAACGAAAATAATATACAATTTTAATTTTTAATATAACTTGAATAAAAATAAAATAACAATATTTCAGTAAGCATTTCTTTTTTTAAATATAATAATATTGGAATTTGGAATCACTAATAGGTTCTCGTAAATTATTGGCTATTTCAGTATTTAAAAATATTGTTATTATTATATTAATTATCTAGATAAAGTACCACAGATAACCATTACATTTATCTAGATGAGATAATTTGATGATTTAATTATTTTTATCTAGATAAGATAATTAAAAAAATAGTTTTATCTACATAATTCCCAACACTGCTTATAAACGTATTATTTGGCCAGCATAGTATTTATTATAATATAACATAAGAATAATAGGCATTGACATAATATAAATGGACTGCGCTTGATGTGTTAATTGTGGAGTCATTATTTGCCCTGATCTGGTAGTCAAAATCAA